ACCCCATCTTCCTGAAGATTTCCTCTACCCCAGGTGTTCCTGCCCTTCTCCTTCATTTAGCAAATATAAGGTTGAGGGTGACTTGATCACTGGCTACACCTATCTACATGGAGAACAGCTATTTAATAAGGGGCTCTTCAGTCTAGGGTTCAGTGGGGTTATAGTGAAGATACCCAAGAAAGGAACTCTCCGTGATTGGAATAACTGGTGTAGTATCACACGTACATCTGTGCCAAGCAAGGTACTGTGTAAAATCGTAGTCCAGCATATATATCAGAGGTAGTTGGCAGCATTCTCAGAAAAGAGCAAGCTGGTTTTCGGAAAGGGCGTGGATGCACAGACCAGATGTTCACTGTATGAAACATAACAGAACAAAGGTTCAGAGAAGGGCAACTAAAATGATTAGGGGTTTGGAACGGGTCCCATATGAGGATAGATTAAAGAGGCTAGGACTTTTCAGCTTGGAAAAGAGGAGACTATGGGGGGATATGATGATAGAGGTATATAAAATCATGAGTGGCATGGAGAAAGTGAATAAGGAAAAGTTATTTACTTGTTCCCATAATATAAGAACTAAGAACCACCAAATGAAATTAATGGGCAGCAGGTTTAAAACAAATAAAAGGAAGTTCTTCTTCACAGAGCGCACAGTCAACCTGTGGAACTCCTTGCCTGAGGAGGTTATGAAGGCTAGGACTATAACAGGGTTTAAAAGAAAACTAGATAAATTCATAGAGGTTAAGTCCATTAATGGCTATTAGCCAGGATGGGTAAGGAATGGTGTCCCTAGCCTCTGTTTGTCAGAGGGTGGAGATGGATGGCAGGAGAGAGATCACTTGATCATTACCTGTTAGGTTCACTCCCTCTGGGGCACCTGGCATTGGCCACTGTCGGTAGACAGGATACTGGGCTGGATGGACCTTTGGTCTGACCGAGGATGGCCATTCTTATGTTCTTATGCTTAGAATGGCAACAGCAGCTTTACGTAAAATTCATAGACTTTGAGAAGGCTTTTGATAGCATTCACAGGACCAGCCTATGGCGCATTCTGCGAGCATATGGAAACCCTCTCTGTATAATCAACATCAAAAGCTTCTATTTCAACTTTATATGCAGTGTTGATTACAGTGAGCTCAGTTTTGAAGTCAAAGCAGGAATACGTCAGGGGTGTGTCATGTCTGCAATCCTCTTCAACATTGCCATCGACTGGATAATGCTGCGTACAACAGAAGACATGCCAAGAGGCATTAAGTGGGCACCCTTCTCATCCCTTGAAGACCTGGACTTCACAGATGATCTCGCTCTCCTATCACATACCCAACACCATATACAAGAAAAAACAACTTGACTCAACACATTCAACCAGCAAATTGGACTGAAAATCAATCACAATAAGACAGATATTATGACCTTTAATATTGCCTCACCATCACCAGTATGGATTAGAGGATCATGTTTTCACCAATGTAGAAACATTCACATACTTGGGCAGCACCATCAGCCAGGACGGTGGAACAAGCCAGGACATCTGAAACAGAATCAATAAAGCCAGGAACACCTTCAGGAACTTAAATACAGTCTGGAAATCATCAAAATACAACACTAAAACCAAACTCAAGATTTATCAGAGCTGCATACATTATAGTGCAGAATTCTGGGGAATGAGAAAGTATGACATGTCCAAACTGTCTTCATTCTATACAACCTGCCTCAGAAAAATCCCCCGTATCTTTTGGCCCAGAATAATCTCAAACCAAGATCTATTCACACAGTGCAGCCAAGAAGATATGAGCACCATCATTGCCAGGAGATGGATTGGCCATGTGCTTTGAATGGAAACTGATCCCAACACCAGAATAGCAATAAGATGGATACCTGAAGGCAAGTGAAAACGAGGCAGCCCGAAAACAACGTAGCAAAGAGCTGTGGAAGCTGAGCTGAAAAACCTGGGGCACAGCTGAGGACCCATTGAAAGACTTGCCAGAAACAGACAGGAGTGGAGGAGCTTCATCGCTGCCCTAAACGCTGGAGGCATAATGGGAACATGGTGATGATGATCTTCAATCTAACTGACAAAGATATAACACCATCCAATGGCTGGAAGTTAGACAAAATTGGACTGGACATAAGGTGCATGCAAATTGTTGACAGTGAGAGTAATTAACCATTGTAACGATTTACCAAGGGTCATGGTGAGTATCCATCAATGACCATTTTAAAATTAAGACTAGATGTTTTTGTGAAACGTACACTCTAGGAGTTATTTTGAGATGTTCTATGGTCTGTGCTATACTGGAGGTTAGACTAGATGATCACAATGGCCCCTTCTGGCCTTAGACTCTGTGAATCCCTGGCCATTACAGACCAGGTCTCCTTTATTCCTCCCCTGCTGCCACAGCCCCCTTCTTCCATGCCCTCAGTGGCCCCAGGCTTCACTGTTGGGTCTTCAAGGAGGCAAATGGCCTTTTCCCCTCAGCCTCCCCTCTGCAGGCTTCTGGGGTCAACCAGCTGGCCAGCTCCCCATCTGCTTTCTACAGGGGGCCCTAAGGAGAGGCTATTGCTGCCCCAGTGAGACTAGCCCATCTGGTTCTCAGTGAGTTAGGGACTCACTTCAGACAGGCAGCACCTGCTCCAGGAGAGCCCTCAGCTCCTCCTCCTTATTCCTGAGGGAATTATGTGCTAAAAAAGTAACAATATTTTTTAATTCAGCAAAATTTATCAATAAATGTGGAGACAAGCATGGCAGTGGGGAGCATAGGCCACTGGCTGCATGCAGGTGAGAGATCACCCTGCAGCCCACCCCACACCGAGGACAGGGACTCGGTGGTGAGGCTGCACCTGACCCTGACACAGCACAAGGGCTGGGCCTGCCCCAGAAACACCCTGCTCCTCTGTGCCAGGCACACTGGGTGTGGACAGGCAGGCTCAGCCCAGCGGGATCCAAGTGTGGAGGGGCTTAGTGTGGGGGGATCCAGGTCTGAAGTGAGAGGGTTCTGTGTGGGGGCAATCTGGGTGTGGGCAGCTCAGTGGGGATGTGGGCAGCTCTGGATGGACAGGGGCTCATTGGGGCAGGGAGTTCTGGGTTCAGGGGCAATGGGACTCTGCAAAGGGATCCAGGTGAAGGTGGTTGGGGCTCAGCAGGGGAGGTCTGGTGTGGGGGGCTCAGTGGTGTGTAGGTGCATCTGATTGAGGCTCAGGGGTAGGCATCTGGGTGTGGGGGGCTCATCAGCACAGTCCAGGTGCAGGGTGGGTGGGGTTCATTGGGGTGGGAGTTTGAGGGGCCTGCTTAATGGAGCCCCTGCTGCTGAGGGGACACCGCATGCTGGTTCCCACTTCTCCCCCTATTCCACTACCCCTTCTTCTGCCCCATCCCCTTCCTCTCCCACATCCCCCTGTCCGTCCAATCCCATCTGGCTTCCATCCCTACTGCCTCTTCCCCTCACCCACCACAGCCACTCACCCTTGTACAGAAAACAGGATAGAAGGGGAGCCTAACAAGCACTAGGACCCAAGAGGAGGCATCCAGCTGCAGAGTCCATCTTTTTAATCTCGCCTCATAATGCTGTTCCATACCGTTAATCATGCGTGTTGTACCTTTTCCAATTCTAATGCATCTTTTTTTAGATGAGGCAACCAGTACTGCACCATATTCAAGGTGTAGTAATACCACAGATTTATATAGTGTCATTATATTTACTGTCTTATTTATCCATTTCCTAATGGTGCCTAACATTTTTGACTGCTGCTGCTGTTTTCAGAGAACTATCCACTATGCCTCTAAGATCTCTTTCTTGATTGGTAACAGCTAATTTAGACACCATCATTTTGTATGTATAGCACTTAACAACACTGAATTCCATCTGCCTTTTTTTGCCCAGTCACCCAGTTTTGTGAGATCTCTTTGCAACTCTTCACTGTCAGCTCTGGTCTTCACTATCTTGAGCAATTTTGTATTGTCTGCAAATTTTGCCACCTGTTTACCCTTTCCTAGATGATTTATCAAGCTGTTGATCACCACTGGTCCCAGTATAGATCCCTGAGGGATACCACTATTTCCCTTTCTACATTTTGAAAATGACCATTTATCCAACCCTTTGGTTCCTGTGTTAGCCAGTTACTGATCCATGAGAGGACCTTCCCTCTTACCACAAAATCGTTACTGTAGTTCCAGGACATTAGTAGCTATGCTGCCATGAATGATTATGTGTTTTAAATATATGCACTGAAGGATACTTCAGTATGAAGTTGTGTAAAAATATCAATAAATTATAGAAACAAGTGTGTGAAAACATTTAATAAAGGATCTCTACATGCAAAGACAAGCTGTCACCAAAGACAGTGCTAATATCTTACTGTAATTCCACAAAGTGAGCTGAAAATCTTAACATTTAACAAGATAAAATGAGGTAGTTAATGATACCAATGCACTCTGCACTGAAACTAAGTACTTCAACTTCCACATGTTATAAAGGACAACTAATTTTCTTCACTGGATGCTTTATTGATGGAAGATTATCTCTCATTCAATTTACAGATAAATGCATGTGTGTAGTGATACACATTGCTGGATTGACTACAATATACAGTACCAGAATCTTTCCAAAAATTCTATATAATATTGTAATTAAAGTGGAAGACAAGACTACTGGCAAGAAAAGGTATACAAAAGCAAACTAGTATTCTAATTAGTCATTGTTTAAATATATTTTCTCATCTAAAAGAACCACCCGTTAATTTAGAAAAAAATAGTTTGACTGGCAAAAAGGCTTTTAAAGAAAAATAACCTTAAAATAAGCCAATTGAAATAAGGACTAGTGCTCTGCATTGACCATTCTATTAAAAAATGGAGAACTATTTTGAAAAATCTTGTAGGACATCTTTAAACTATAAATAAGCTGGGGACTGTTAAAGGCTATTTTTTCCTTCACAATTACCTTTAATATGGTCCAACTGGAATTTCTTAGTCCTTCTCAGTCAGAACATGGTGGCCAGATGCAAACACACAATGCTATGGGATGTAAAGTAGAGGCACTTTAAGCACTCCAATGAAGACAAAACCATTTCATCCTTCAGAAAATATTTTTCATAGCTACTTTTATTTTTGATATTATTTCTTTCGCAACTATTTTCTCAAGTGCTAATGAAGTAGTAATTCAAACCAATGACAAATTTTCAATTAGCAGCACATTTGGCAAGTCATACTACTGTAGAGAGGTGATCTGTAGAATGCTTATTACCTGCAAGTCTCAATCTACACTCAACACAAATTATATTGTATTTCCATGAGTAAAAATATTTTCTTTAATAAAGGACTTTACTGGTAGGTAACAACTGTATTTGCTGAGAACAAAAACCTTTACACTTATCAATTGCTATGAGAAGAAAACTTGTGTGTTTCAGTATTGGATAAAAATGATGGTATATCCTAAACAGGATGTTTTAAATGCACAAGTGTCCACTAACATCAAAGTGTTCTAACTACAAGTATCTTTTCTCTGCTTCTCTTAAATACAGTGCTCAGGGCAATTCACTGTCAATATATGCTTATATTATCAAGACAAATGTTTTATGATTGATGTTGTAGGAAATACAAAAAAAATATCAAGTCATTCAAGTACTCTATTACTGTGACTAATACGCTGTTGTTTTGAGTTAGTGTACAAACAGAGCCCACAGGCCCACATATTTAGATGCAGATAAAAATGTTTTTCATCTGTTACAGAACCTGCAATACATGTAACATCCACATAATTTATTTAAACAATCCATTTTGACACAATCCACAGACAAAGTGACAAGGTTTACTGTACAGTGATAATTTTACTGTACTGATGTAAACACATTAAAATGAAAAATATATGCAAGTATGTTTCAGATGAGTTTCAACCAACAAAATCAAAGCAGCTGACCATAGCATCCTTTTGCTTCTGTAAAGTCTAGCTCACAAGTTCAGGCTGTACATTTATTCTTTGAAGGATGTCTTCAGGCATACAAAAAACAGGACTGACAGGCTTAATTTGTTCGTCTCCTAACAATGATAGACCAGCAATTCCAAATAAGGTGTGAAAAGGATCCACCTGGAAAAAAAATTAAGAACTAATTTATACACACTGACAAAACTAAAACCCTTTGGATGAGTTTACAGTGAGACAATAAGATGACTGAGTTGCTAGAAGAGACTGAGAAAGCTCAATGGTGGTTGAAGATTTAATTTCAGAGAACAATGGAAGTGCACAACTTCCTGGTTTTTAGTATGCAATTACTTTAAAATATCAGAAGTAAATATTCACACACATTAAAAGAAACCAATAGCCAGCTTCAAATTGTATACATTTAGGATACAACTTTGAGATGTTTGAACTGATGATGTTTGTTGCCACCAGAAATTTTTTTAAACCTGAACTCAATAGCACGCATGCAGATAATGGAAAAAGTCTGACAGCTCTTTCCACCAATTCCTCTATGCATTGTTACAACATGGTAAATCTAGTTCCTCATGATTCTACTATATATAATGTAAAAGTTACATGCTAACCTGATGATCTAAAATCAGCTCTGCCATAAACTCCATATTTTTTACTCAACATTATATTGCTCTCTGGCAATCTCTCTGAACATACAGCTGTGCTGACAGGTCTTAGAGGGAGCCAAAGGGACCTGAATACACAACTGGAGGGAAAACAGAAGGAAAAATGGGGCATAGGAGAAGAGAAAACATAAGTAGGAGGTAATTCTCTGAGATTTAGAGATTCCTTCATGAGATTAGGAACAGATTTTCCAGAAGGCTGCTATACAGTTTGCATATCCCCTACACAGACAACATAGAAGGCTACTTACTTAAACCCTTAGGCTGAGGTTATGCCTTCAGTGATGTAGCCTGTATCCTCACTGCAAAGTGGGCATTGCCAGCCCTAGTGAAAACAGAAACCAGGGCTCTAACCTACACCCCCAACTGTGCCAGCTAGCCCAAATTGAGAGCACCACTTAGCTCAGGTGACAGGATTATGTGTGTGGACAATACCCAAGTAAGAGCCTGAGCTAACTCTGCTCTAAAGACAAACCCTTAGGACCTAGTTCACAGCTTACTAAAGCTCCTTACATTGCTCTGCAGCGTAAATAAGCAATAAATTAGGTGGAAAAAGCCCCCCATGCGTATACCATTTGCACCGGAGGCCTCGTTGGCCAGTTTACAGCCGGTTTAAGGGCTCTACACTGACCCAGCTACCAGCCTCCCACATATTATGATATCGCCTAAAAGCTCAGGCTCAGACCAGGGCCCTAATGTACTGAACAAAACAATTAAAAGACTGTCCCTTCCTCAAAGAGTTGGCATAGCAGGCACATCATGGAAATATCCAGAATGCACAGCACTGGCTATTCTCTGCTTTCTAAGGCCCATACATAGGCCATTAAAAGCCAAATGTAAGCTAAAAGGATCTCTGAGGCTGCTCTAAATTTACACAGAGGGCTGGGCAGGCCCCTGCATGGACCCAAAGTTAATGTTATTTTCTAATTCTCCTTAGAGACATAAAAAGAAGCTTCCTGCTACACATGTAGGGCTAACTTAGCAGACATGGGCAGGCCCAAGTTAAGACAAAACAAGCCTGAACAAGTAATTGCTGAAACAGCTAACTATTGTGAATATATTTATAGCAAATACGGGAGGGAGAAACTAACTAAACTCACGATTGTGGGTATTAGAGAGACAAAGTGGGTAAGGCAATATAATTTATTCTGCTGGTGAAAGACAAGCTTTCTAACTACAGAGCTCTTCCTCAGGTCTGGGAAAGGTATTCAGTCTCATAGCTAAATACAAGACTAACAGAGAATTTAGCTTTAGTAGCAGCAGTATTCAATTCTCACAATAACTGCCACAACACTTTTATTGATGACCAGATTACAATTTGACCTTAAATATACTGACAGTTTTTAATGGAAAATCTTAAATGCTATTTTCACCTTCCATTTTCATGTAGCTTACTTTCATCTTTAGTTTATCCAATGCTTTTTGTTTAAATTGACACATTTGTCTTAGCTAAATTCTAAGCCAGTGGTTCTCAAACTGTGGATTGGGACCCCAAAGTGGGTCAAGACCTCATTTTACTGGGTTTGCCAGGGCTGGTGTTAGACTTGCTGGGGCCGGGGGCTGAAGCCCGAGCCCCACCACCTGGGGCCAAAGCCCAAAGGCTTCAGCCATGGGTGACGGGACTCAGGCTTCAGCTTCATCCCTGGTTGGTGGGGCTCAGGTTATAGACCCCTGCCTGGGGCTGAAGCCCTTGGGCTTTGGCCCCCCCTGCCGGGATGGCGGGGCTTGGGCAGGCTCAGGCTTCAGTCCCCCCTCCTGGGGTCATGTAGTAATTTGTTGTCAGTAGGGGGCCATGCTGCAATGGAGTTTGAGAACCCCTGTTCTAAGCTATAAATATCAAGAGCATATATTCTTAATGTTTTCCAACACCACTTTTAACTGAAAAAAAATCAAATTTAACTGGACAAGTCTATTTAAAGGAAACATCTTTAGCTTTTATTTCTCTTTTTACTGTAGCATTTTAAAATGGAACATTCACAACTGCAATACAGCCTACAATCTTATTAGCCTGTTGCTTTTCAACAAAATGTTTTTTCAGCCATCTGCTGGGGCTTTAAACAGGGAAAGGGTCCTGAATTCTCAGCATGGGATAGTCAGCAGATATCGAAGACTGTCACATGCTCCCTCAAGGAAACAGATATGCTAAGGTAGCATTACCCTGTTCATACTTGTGTACTACCTGCATTGGTTTAAATTTTAGTATATATAAAATAAAGCCTTTCGCAAACCTGTAAACTCTGAATTTCAACCTAAAATGTACATTTAAATGAACTTGCCATATCTCCTGGTCTGTCTGCAAATCCTCCAGTCTCCTCATCCTGGCAAGCCAAGATAAAGCAGCGCAATTTCTCTCTGTCAATCCAATGTAGTCTACCAATTATCTTCAGGGATGCTAACACCCACCATGAATAACATACATCTGGTAACTGGCAAATAAATATATTAGTAGAGTATTATGTTTTTTAAATACATGGGTTGCAGTAGTAACACTAGGTTTTGTGAAACCACTAGCCATATCATCAAAACATCACTGAGCAGAGTACAACTTTGGAGCACTGTTTCTTGGGCAGAGAACCAAGTTCCTCCACACAGCTTATTCACAGATGCCCTTCCTCCTCCTGTCCCCCAGCAGCAGAATCACAAGTGTTCTGCCGCTTTTGAAACCTTGCCAGTCTCTTTGACAGGATTTTGGCTCTGAAGAAGAGACTCATTTAAATGGTATTTTCGCTTTCATGGCCAAGAGGGACAAGAGACTATGAGGACAGTATCAACTAATAATTTAACAAAAAAACCTCTTAAGTTTGAAAGCATTTGTCTGCTGCATTCATTAAGAAAACTAGTGCTAAGAAGTCTCCACTTGCAAGTCAGTCATTCCAGATTACATTATTCAACTGTTGGACACACACAACAGGAGTCCCACAAAAATTATAAATCCAAAGTATTTTTCTGGTTACTTTATGAACGAACATTTATAAATCCTGTAGTATACAGCATTCCTAAAACATCACAATATATCCAGGCCCTGATTCAGCAAGGTATTTTGAGACCTTAAACTATGATGAGAACATTGCTTCTTCTTAAACAGGGGCCCATACTGGATGATACAGCAAGGGAATCAAGATTAAAAGTAAAAACATTTGAAAAGTTTTGCAACAGCATTTGAAAGGAGGTCCATGATATTTTCCAGAAATTAGAAAAATAATTTTTTTGCTTCTACACTAAGCAGAGTAAAAGTTTTTTAAAAAGTGAACCAAATACCTTCTCTGGCCTTCCATTGAGACCCCCAGAGGGTAACTGACGTTCACAAAGCCACCAGCCCAGCAAGTCAGCATTTATTTGGTGCAACTGGCCTGTTATAGCCAGAAATCCTGTGCAACAATAGATCTAAAATTACAGACATAAAGTTCATGTGTATTTAAGTAGCATGTAACAGACTAAATGTAGGAGGATCACAAAGCAGGATTCTATTCTTTCACATCATGCTAATAGTTAAAATAAGCAAGTTAGAAGACTAAGTGTTCAGTTTACAAAGGGAACATACTACTCCACTGTTAAGATTTTACTAATGTACTCTAGTTGTCATTAAAAGTAAAATGTAATTTGTAGAGCCCTAAAAAAATCAGATTGAACGTTAAGGTATTTTCTTAATGTATGCAGGACCTTAGAGGAGATTTAGAAAAAAAAAAAAAAAAAAAACTATTTTGGAGGGGAACTATAACACGTTTAGGTTGTATGTTTCATAAATAATTAAGTTTCTCTACATTGAGTAGTTTTTATATTTTCATTTAAACAAGTAAATCCTTCCAAATTACAATGCTCAGCACAATTATGGAAAATGAACAGCTGATTATTGTGATTAGATCTATATTGAAATAGTACTAAAATGTGTTAAAGTTAATTTCTATCAACTGGAGCTTCGGAGTAAGTGTCGGTATCAACTTCATCCAAAGTTAAGTTACATGTAAAGTTACATGGAAGTCATACAGGTCATCTTGCTTGGCATTTATCCATTCTTAATGAGCTCTAGTACCCCTTCACCTTACCTCCAGCTAGCCTGTCACCTTAAAAGAAATTCCACCAGCACCATCAAGAAGTTAACCAAGTTACCTCTGCAACATATCAGACTTTAGAATAAAAGGTAGGAGTGGAATCTACAGTAAATTCCACCTGAACTATAACTATGATTGGGCCAAACAAGTATTTTTGCTACCAGAAGGTAAGACATTTGACCAATGTGCAAGCCAGTGAAGTACAAAAAGTTCTGCTTAATCTAACAGAGAAAAGGTAGATGACTTCAAAATTGTGCTCTAATCATATTACAAAACTTGAGATATTTCCTCCCTAACAAATCTGAATGCTAACTACTTTTTGAACAGCTGCATACTTGTCTTTCTTTTGGAACTTTAGTTACATTTTTAACTCATCCTTGTGATGTTTGAAACAAAGATTCACACCACTATACAAAATTGTGGTTCTGATATGGATTTTTAGGGACAAAATTCAGCTCCTAGACCTCTTAACAGATCAATTCTGTACTTGTGTCATTTAAAGGAATAAAGTTCTTTACATACATTTAGGAAGTGACAAAAGTGCTTCAGTCTGCATTGCTGACAGGTTTTAGAAACAGTTATAAAAACTAGATATGAGAATTTCTTGCTAATCTAAAATATTTCAATGCGCAAGCAACAGCACTTACCTGCCCTGCATGCGATTCAGAACCTGGTCTACAACCAAATCCTCCATCAAAGTTCATACAGGACAAAACAAATTCGACTGCTTTTTCCACATCAATGACATCTAGCTTCCCCTGCAAGTCAGAAAAGTCCCTTTAACATTTTATACTACCACCAAGTAAATTAAGTATAGCTACTGTAGCATCATTCGTCTGCCATCTACAGAAAACTTAAATATTTGTATCTAATATCCACCCTATTGCAGAACTTACCAAAAGAGCTAGTGTTGCTGCAGCACAGAAAGAGAATCTTGTATCTATTTCTCCTACAAAGAGGGGGGGGAAAAACAGTATAACTACAGAGAACTAATTTTGATATATATAGGCACACAGAGGATGCATGCTATTAAAAAGAACACAAGAAGTCACTAAACATGGGTGTTTCCCTGAATATTAAATAGAAAACACTCCAATACTTTATACCAATATTTTCCTCCACCAGCCAATACAGTCACATTATTTCCCAATAGGATCACATTAAACAAATATAAAATGATCTGTATGTAACCATTAATTAATAATCCTTTGATCACTTAGTGGTTGCCAGATAAATATCCAGGCTTACTTCAGTTAAGAGAAATTTGTAAATATGCTATTTAATTTTTCAGTTTATAAAAAGCACCCAATGCACAGTATGTGCACTGAATAGAAAGAGAACTGGTTGAACAATGTCAACACAGAGATTCATTCACCAGTAAATTATCCACATTGCCCACTCAGTTCTTCAGCATCATAATCTGAAGGCCACAAAGACTCAGAACTTTGGACAAAGCAAGTTAAAGAGCAGTGGACCCTCAAGAATACATCAACACCAGTCTCCACAATGCTCAAGGTCCTCAGCTGGTGTGAAGGCACAGATCAAGAAAGGTCTCTCATGCAAGGTCTACACTAGAAACTTTTGCAAGTATAGTTTCATCAGTTAGAGAAGTGATTTTTATGACATTTCTATAGTGGCTATACCAGTAATCCTTTTCCCAGTGTTGATTAGACCTCAGTAATTAGAACTCAAGTCAACACTTTAAACTGTACCCCAGATGCAAACAGGGAATGAGTGCAGTTTTTCAGAAATGGTATAATATCCTTGTTGTAGCTCGTATCACGAATCAAGCAGGTAACCACATTCTGTACTAGCTTTAGCAGCTCCTGAATTTTCCTCAACAGTAGCCTCATTTATAGTGCATTTCAGTAATCCAATCTGATAATTTACATTCTTGTCAGTATTTGTCATATCCCTGCCTGTGTATTTCATTACTATATGATGAAAAACTGGCTGCAATGTAAAAGTTGGTGCTGAATATGGATGACCATTTTAATACCAACACGTAGCTTGTCAACTGCAAATTGATGTTTATGGATTTACATATGTTGAAATATCTTGATCGGTTCATTTTATTAACTGAAAAACGAAACAATGGTTTTGTTGTAACTGATATTCAACAGGATACAATACTGAAATATTAAAATATATTTTATATAAAATAAAGAATACTTTAAAATGTCGATAGAAGAAAAGGTGAACAAACATACCCTTTAAAAATAAAAATCAACCAGATCAATATTTTTAGAAGCTGTGAATGCAGACACAGATTTATGTCATTACTATGCAGAGAGGTAGTTCCTTTTACAAGCAATAAATATATACCACAACTTAGAAATCACTAGATATTAAACTCAAAGATTAATATCTAGTACAAATTACACTGAAATGAGAAGGCACTCTCCCATCACAAGCTCTAACAAGTTTTGAGCTTTGAGAAGCTTCTATGAAGGTTGATCAGTTTTTGTTACTTATATCCATTTTTCTGTAAGTTTAGAGTCATCTAGAAAAGCAATGATGTGACTGGCTGTTACACAATAGCTCCTTTTTACACAGTGAGGGAAATAAATGAGGTTCATGCATAATACAGTGAAAAAACATGCAGAGCAACTTATTCTTAACTGCTTCATTATATGAAATACGTCAACCCATCCATGAGACTTTGAAGATATAAGTTACCCCATTTGTCTCCAGCAAATGATCCATCTTCTTTTTGCAGGCTCTTTACGTAGTCAACAATTTTATTTACATCAACAACATGGAGACTATCATATAAGGTAAGAATCTGCAAAACAAAAATGACTCAAATCAATTACTAGAAGGGTAAAGTTTCCTAGAATTTACCAGAGAACCAGAGCCCTAGTTTTCTTAAAACAAAACACAGAACTTCATTTTATTGATGATGAACGTAAATCACTAACATTTTAAACTACCATGAAAGCTTCAGCTAACTGCAACCTACCCAACATTACAAGCTTGATTCCATAAAACTTTAAAATTCCCAAATTAAGGTGAAGATTTCCATGCATGGTCTCAACACAATCTCTTTCTCCACTTTAAAGTTTTAAACAGTCATTTGAGTTAGGCTAGCATCATGGAACATGGTATTGATTTATTAGTGTCTGATTATGGTTGAATTGTTAGGAGATAAGAATGTTCTGGGCTTGTAGTAGCATGTATACCTAAGTAATGGAAAGGTGCAGAAAGCTTTTGGATGGGCAAATTTTTACAAATATAAATTCAAAAAACGAAATCACAATTTAAGAACTGTCAGACTTTAAAAGTCTAGACTAGTCCCCAATAAGCAGCACATGCTTGGTAATAGTGAGAAGAATTTTAAGTTATGAAATTTTTAGTTAAGTCATATTATAGGAAATAATGCAGGCGATTCATTCCATAGAGGTTTTTCCAAGAGCTTTTTTGAGCAGGATTATAAGGGGGTGGTAGAGAGGAGGAGAATTTCAACAAAATTTTGTAAAAAGCAACAAAGAGTCCTGTGGCACCTTATAGACTAACAGACATATTGGAGCATAAGCTTTTGCGTCTGACGAAGCGGGTATTCGCCCACGAAAGCTTATGCTCCAATACGTCTGTTAGTCTAGAAGGTGCCACAGGACTCTTTGTTGCTTTTTACAGATCCAGACTAACACGGCTAGCCCTCTGATACTTAACAAAATTTTGAAAAACTTCATCCAGGTCTAAGTTCTCTTTATCTGTTGACTGCAATTTAAATCCTATGGAGTTGCAGAAAACAAATTAGCAACTCCATAATTCCAGCTACAGTGTTTGCAGTAATCTATATTTTGCAGTTTACAGAGCATTGCATAATACTCCAGTGTTGCAATACGCTTTTTAAATTGAAAAAACAAACAGAACACAAGATGGCAATGTTAATATAATAGAGTTGGAGGACAGGAAAAGCAGAAATTAAGCTTCTGATGGTAATCTGCACTTATTTATTATTTTGGATTAGCAGTTTAGAATTCTTAATGTACAATATAAATGAATACAGTATGTGCAAGGTGGGTTAGTTTAGCATTGCTAAAAGAACCTTAGATTTGCCTTTCTTGACTTTATTTTAAATTTGCAAATTTAATTCTCAGTTTAGATTTTTATATTTACGCTGCAATCTATTGTGGTTTTATCATCTTATAGTAACATCAATATTAAGCGTAAGGAGTTTAAATAAATCGGAAGGACCTCAAGACTGGGCTGGGAACCCTACATACAAATCTTTTGGCTGGCCAGCGTGGATAGACCCAAACGGGATCCAGAATGTGTGGTAACCAATTAGGACACTGAGAATAATTTGTGCCCAAATTTATGACAAGCAGAAGTGTGGCTCTCTACCCACAATAGCTGTACTCACTCAAACTAAAAAGAGTGGGCACAGCAATTTCCTCAGGTCTCAGAGTAATTCTAGAGCTAAAGTGTGATAATCATCAACTTTAGATTCAGGTAATACATGCCAAGGCTCATCATTGACCTGCGCAACTCCTGGGCCCCATCTCTCACTACCAGACATCTATTCTATATTTCATCCTATTCAAGGATTACAACCCACAACACTTCTTCCCTACAAAATGATCTATGATGCAAGAGTATTTAAATGCCATTTAGATACATTTGGTCCCAGATTGTCAAACTATTTTACACTAACTTCATGCAGTTCTTGTGTTTAAAACTGGATTGGGTAACATTTCTTGGTATAGAGCAGAGGAAACTTGACTCTACAAGTAGTTAGAACCTAGATCTGTAATGGAGGTAGTGTGTAATCAGGAGGATCTCTGTTGTATGTCAGCTGCAGATACAAGACCACACCTTCACTTTGGGTACGTCCAGACTACCCGCCGTATTGGCAGGTAGCGATCAATTGATCGGGGATCGATATATCGCGTCTCGTTAAGACGTGATGCAGCGATCCCCGAACGCATTCCCCGTCTACTCCGGAACTCCACCGGAGCGAGCGGTGGTAGCGGAGTCGACGGGGGAGCCACGGCCGTCGATCCCAAGCCGTGAGGACCCAAGGTAAATCGATCTAAGATACTTCGACTTCAGCTACGCTATTCACGTAGCTGAAGTTGCGTATCTTAGATCGATGCCCCCCCCCCCAGTGTAGACCAGCCCTTTGAAAGAAAGCTCTACATTATTAGCTGAATATGAGTAGGCAGGCAAGTTGGGAAAAAACTAAGGTATATGTTGGTTCAGAATGACAAGATGCACTTGGGTCAACCTCTGTGCGTGGGGCCCCAACACCACAAAAGAAAGTGTTTAATAGCTTACAATTAAAAAAAAAAAAAAAAAAAAATCTACATTACATCAATGTTTTACTTCTCAAATTTGTATTGCTGTATTAGTAATCTTTAAAACAGAAGCTTCCCAATTAAAAGTTTCAATTCAGGCACTACACACAAAGGGGAAAGGGAAACATTCATCTCTACTAGCTTTAAAGAAATTGGGTTTATATATCCTTATTATACACGTGCCTTCTTATTTTCCCCAAAAGAGGTTGATACAATTCAGCATAATTCTTGTAGCCTTTTTGAAAACTCCGTAGACTATTTTATTTCTTTAAATAATAAAACATTACCATAGTTAGAAGTGTGCACATGAAGTACATGATCACTGCCTGAAGGTGACAAGCTGCTGTAAATTGTGCTTTCCAACTTGGTTCATTATACATGTCTAACTTGCAACAAACTTATTAGGGAATTCACAGAACTAAATCTATAAGTTGTAACAATTTTTCTCATGAACAAATCTGTCTCAAATAAAACATTTCAATGTGACAGCAGAAAAATGGAATACCTTGGTGGTATCTAGAACAGTCAAATTAATTTATTAAATTAAGCAGCTGTTTTCACTTACTTCCAATATTTTCTTTTCTATACATTTACCTGGACAGCACTAAGGGTATATAAAAGGTGAGGATCGTGACCTATACTGGCACTTATTCCACCGCACTCATGTTGACATGATTTGATGAATGCTAGAATTTCTTCTTTGGTCATTCGTTGCAGCTGTCCCATGAGATCCATTACGGTCAGTCCCCAGTAGACACCACTCATCCTCAAATATTCCGACATACAGTACTCCTAAGTAGTACAGAATTTTAGTTCTTAAGCAGACAAAGACATATAAACAAGTAGAGCCCTGCTCGGATACAAAAATTTGGATCCGCATCCGATCTGCAAAGATGGTAAACAATACAACTGCATCCGCAGATGCATATAGCTGCAGATAGAATGCAGATATCGGTGGATTTGCAGGGCTCTGTAAATTCTGCAATTTTGTAAGTTAGACTAAGTTCTCTGAACTAAAGATCTAGCCATTACCAAATCCTCCCCATCCAACCAACAAGCCAAATTGTACTTTATTCTAGGTTGTTTACTTAAGAAATATAAGCTTTCTAAGCTGGCTAAGATACTGCAACTGATTCAGTGAATTTCTGCCTTTTACATAATTTTTCCATCTTAGATGGCTGAGGCATAAGGTCAAGTTACTTGCCCATATTTATGCAGCAAGACAGTAGCTCAGACCAGATCATTAGTTACGATCTTCTTGGCTCTGGTCCTTTGCTCAAGTTACTAAACCAAATGGTCCCCTCAAAATAACAGCCTAACATTCAGTTAATTACATAATTGCCATTTCCCAAAATTGAAGCAAAGCAACTTAGAGCAGTAACAGGAAGAGAAAAACTCATTTATTGTAGCTTAATATATTGTTATAAATCTTTCTTGATCAGCATTACCTATGATTTTTCATATTGTATTGTAATATTCCATAGTAATTTATGTATTTTCTTGCTACAGGTGAGCAGGAGAGCGAGACCATACACATGGTATAAGAGAAGGCAGGTTTCAGTCAGAGGCACCACACTTTAAAACGTAATTGAGACCATCTTGTTGGGAGACCTGTCGTATTTAAACATCTAGTTTTATTTTTCTGTACATTTTCTCTGTGTAGCCTTATGAATATCAAATAATATATACAGATATTTATAACTGGTTTAAAAAACCCCAAGCACAATTGCTACAGACTACTTTGGGAAAAGGTACTAACTGACTAGAATGTCCAATTCGCTTAGTTTGTAATTCTGTTAAAACTTATCTAAGCAGTACTACTACGAGCAGAATATAAGAGATTAATTTAATAAAGAATTATACATTATATGCCCAGCTGAAATCATAAGCCTGCCCAATATTGTAATACACATCACATGGCTAAACTAACAATGTCATTTTCTACTTAAACGTTGCTCCCAGAACTGACCCCATAACATGTCAAGATATGCCTCCAGCATACTGAGGATTGTTAAAGAGTATCTGTATTTGAAAGGATCTGCAAGTACTCATTCCCAAGAGAAAATTCCTCATGTTTTGGTATTTCTGGCACAAAGGTTAAGGCCAGACCATTGGGGGACTTGAAGTGGAACACTAAAAATCAAGCCAGACCGAAACAAGGAAACATCTGAGGTTCAATAATTAGAGCTGGTCAGGAATTTTCCAACAAAACAGTTCTGTCGAAAAAGCCAATTAACTGAACCAGATGTGTTTCAAAGCAACAGTGTGCTTTGACAAACTTGCATCACAGACTTCCTGGTGGGCTGCTATGGAGCCTAGGGTTCCAGGGTCTGAGGATCTCAGATAGGTAAGCCACGTGCACTACTTGAGTGCTGGGAACCTGGTTCACAGCTCAAGGGCAGTCCCATTATGCATGGCTTCCAGGCTTCTTGCAATGGAGTCAGGACCCTGAAAGCCCTGGCTGTAATAATGGCTCACCTCCTGTATCTGCAGCAGGGAACCAGGGTTCTCAGGGCTTCCAGGATCCCTGCCATGGAAACATGGAAAACCCACTGTATCCTGAACTCTCAAAGTATATCTACACTGCAAACAAAAAAACCCCAACCCACAGCTATAAATAGGGCCCTACCAAATTCACAGTCCATTCTGGTCAATTTCATGACTAGAGGGTTTTGGTCAATTTAACGATTTTAGATGTTTATATCTGAAATTTCAGGGTGTTGTAACTGTGGGGCTTCTGACCCAAAATGGGATGGGGGGAGGGGTTCAGAGGCGGGGAGGTTTTGTAAAGCTGTTGTAGCAGGGTCCCGAGATTGCTGAAGGCAGCATCCTCCCAGCTTCCTGCAGTTAGTGGAACTCCCAGAGGTGGAGGTGGGTAGGATCTCCACCAATGCTGCTGGGAGCACCCCAGCCAGGGGTGCCTAGCTGCTAGTCCACACCAGGGACAGATTAAGGCAGGGGGCCTGGCCAATTTAGGGATCCCCCCAGAAAAAATCAGTGTCTCAGCCCCAGATCAGAAGCCCCTACCAGGTCACCCTGAGCCCTGGCGGGAGCTGCAGGGGAAGAAGCCCCGACCCTGGGATGCCCCGAAGCCCAGCAGGAGTGGCAGCAGGGGGGAAGCCCCAAACCAGAGCTGCTCAGAGGCCAAGGTGGCAGGAGCAAAAGCCCCAAGCTCCGCACCCGGAGACACGGCAGAAGCCGCGAGGAGTGTGTGTGCGCATGTGTAGTGGAAGCCCCGACCCCTGGCTGGAGTGGCAGAAGCTCCAAGCCCAGGTCGTCTGTCCCCCCTACCGCCCTGGCTGCAGCCGTCAGGAGCGGAAGCCCCCAGAGGAGGAAGCCCTGGGCTTGGCACCGGAGCCGTGCGTGGGCCAAGCCCAGAAGCCGAGCCTGCCCCAGCTGCAGGCACCAGGAGTGAAAACCCCCAGCCTGGCAGGAGACGCTACAGGAGGACGCCCCGAGCTCGGCACCTGGACCCAGAGCTGCGGCGGGCGGGGGGAGGGGCGGGGGGTAGGAGGGGAGAGAGAGCCCGGAGCCCAGTTCCTGGGCTTCTGCAGCAAAGAAGTGAGGGTGTATCACCCTCATTTCTGCACTGCCTCTGGAGGTGGGTCTGATCTCCCCACCAAGAGCAGCCCTGCAGGGAAAGGACAACTCCTGTCCCTTCCCAGCATGGACGGACTAGCAGCTAGGAGCCTCGGGCTCTCAACAGCAGGGGAGATCAGATTTTACCGTGACACATTTTTCACAGCCGTGAAATTGGTAGAGCCCTAGCTATTGGTAGAGCACAGGTCTGCAGACTCAGGCTTGCGTTACAGTGCTAAAAACAGCTGTGCAGACATGGCCACACAGGCTGTGAAACCCAGAGATGGGGGTGGGTCTCAGAGCCCAAGAGGGGACATTTTAGCACCATAGGACAAGCCTGAGCTTGTAGACCCAGACTCTGAGACTCACTGCCACAGATTTGTTTTTCTGCAGTGTAGGCATACCCTCAGGGTCTAGGCTCCCCAGGTCTATAAAAGGAGGCTTAGAGGCCCCAAGAGTCCTGGCTTGAGCCCAGACTCCCAGGATTTCCAGACCCCCTGCCATGGAGCCAACTGTCTCAGGAGTCTGGGAGACGGGGGTCCCCAATCCCTGTGAAACTGACAAGAATCACATTAATTTAAGTCAGCAGCTGCTGGGGTCCAGGGAACATATTTCATTTTGGATATACCAACACATGGTGTTTGTATTTCCCCAAAAGATTTTTCAGAATTTCTGGCTCACCTGAAATTTCAAAACATTAAAATTTCCCATGAACTGGAAATCCTCAGATTTGGCCAGCTCTATCGGTACTCATGTGGAAAATACTCAAATGGCAGAGTTAGAGATAGAACTCTTCCACATGGGGACAGATATTTCATTACTGTGTTCATCACTAGCCTAGTGCTGAATTCTTTCCACAATATTTGTATAGCTGTATTTTTTCAACCTGTCTCTTTGTTTGTTTTTTTTAAGATAGTTACATGGAATTGTATTTGGAAATGTAGAGTGAAAGCCTGGCCCTAATGCCAAAGCTCCCAGTGATTTCACTGGGACCAGACTGTCACTCCTTAGCTGGGAATCTTGCTGGATGATGCACTGAAAGAGGAAACAAGTATTTTGGCTGTTCATGAGACAGTGATAAAACAGTGATCTGGGTTCCATGTCAGCGACAGATAGCTGTGGTCATCTTCTCCTACAAAATACTATAGGAGGAATGAATGACCAACCAACAATATACCGATAACAGTACGGTCTCTCTTTCATAAAACCAGATTGGGTTGGTTGGCTAAGGTTCACTATTAACAAGACAGAGGTATATGCTGGTTTGCTAGGAAAAATATATGGAAGAGAGAGGCGCACCTGCCTTGTGTTACCTGAATTCCAACGTACATTTTCTAGTAGAATCCAGATTAAATCCAGTGATGCTGAGGCTCATTATATAGCAGGTAGAAATACAACTATGGGACATATGTGATATTTGGGAAGACGTTGTATCACTATAGCACAAATTCATCCTAATAAGCAAAAGATCACATTTCCTAGGTCTCAGAGTAATTCTAGAGCTAAAGCAGTGATCTTCAACTTTAGAGTCAGATAATACATGCCAAGTCTCATCATTGACCAAGGAAAAGCACCATCTCCACCCCTCAGAACAACAGAATCTTTTCTTTTAACTCTTCCCCTTGCATTCAGAGACAAAAAGATACCTAACTTCCTAACTCATCACCTGCCAACCTACTCCTATCACTGCAGGAAATGGCAAGATATATCACTTATCAGAGTATTATCAATAGTGAAATAAGCAAATACCTACATAATCGTCTTTCTTTGCACCATAAGAAGCTATGTAATCTGCATGTTTCTCCAAAAACAATGTGCTTGGTGCATCAGGTTTTATAACAACATCCTTTTGTGGTGTTCCCTTTTAAAAAAAAAAGAAACAAAAAGTTAAGTTGTATTATCAATCTAAAGAGACCCCAGTACCCGATTTTTAATAAACCGATTATTGTTACAAGTAACACTTAAGTTGATCGTAACAGGTCAGAGCGAACAATTCATGTTATGTGTACCTGTCGAAGCTGAATATTTGTCAGCACTTCATTTCTTTTAAACAGACGTCTAAGTCTGCTTTATTCTTTCCCGATAAAATTTCCAACTTATTTGACAGAGCAAAGTCTATAAATAAAAACTTCGATAAGTTTACATTTTCACTAACCCAGATAAATATTAACCAAACTAATTTTTTTAAAAAACGACCCCCCCATGGCAATCAAGGTGACGCTCTGCAGCTATTCCATGCAGACGGGTTAATAGCGATGCTCCTGCGGTTCACGCGGCTGGGACTGGGCCTGGGCCTCGTGCTCAGCGTGGCCCCGATTCCAGGTCAGGATTGCTCAGCTCAGAGTTCAGATTCCAGCTCCCAGCCTGCCCCGCAACGTCAGCCTGGGATCGCGCGGCACTGCCTAGTTACACATCCCGAGTCCCTCACAGGCCGGGACTGAGGGCAATTCCCCCCACCCCCGTCTCCATCTCCAGCCCAGGCCCCATCGCACCCCACCCTCCTTAGCCACGTTACTACAGCGGCCGCCGCCCCACTACCCGCGCGCTTGGGCCCCGCTAGGCTGGCAGCGGGCGCCGGGCTCTACAACCGTCACCGCGGGGCGACGCCTCCCGCGCTCTGCAGCGAACCAACTGGTCCAGGAGCGACTGGATCCAACCGAGCTCGCCGGGCGCAGGCCGGTGCCCCCGGCCGGACGATGAGACCCGACCAAGCGGAAGCCGGCAGCGAAAGGGCGGGCCAGGCCACCAGCGAGGGGACGCGGAAGGAGACCGCCCGGAGAAGCCCGTGGCAGGAGCGAGCGAGCCACCCACCATGTTAGCAGCCTCCGCCGCACGCGCCACCAACCGTCTGTCCTACGGGTGGGATCGCGACTCGTTGAGCAGGAGAAGGCGGTGCCCCCGTCGGCCTCTCAAGACCCCGCCATAGCTGTCTTTGGCGCTGCCTGCGCAGCCTGGTTGGTCTGCAGCAAAGCTCCACGTAGCCCTAGCGGCTCAGTGCGGAGCCCGCGCACAAGGCGCGCGCTATGACTGGCGACGACCCGACCGCGCTTAGGTGCCCCACGCGCTGCCCGCCCCAGGAGGACCCCGGCGCCGCTTGCACAATAGACAGCGACCACGTGGGGCTCATAGGGGCTAGCAGGGGGGCCCAGCGTAGAGAGGCCCCGCCCAGTCGCGCGGGTGCCGACGGAGGGACCAGGAGACGGAGGCTGAGCCCAGCTGCAGTTACGTCAGGCATCGGCCTGAGCTTGCGCACTCGACGCGACGCAGGCTCAACGCGCGCCCGCCTCCGCGCTAGGCCCAACGCAGAGAGCTGGGCAGCCCCGTGGTGGCATCAACGCACGGCGAGCAGTGCCACCTAGCCGGCCCGCTGCCCCAACGTACCGTCAGCCCCTTCTGCCCAGGGAGGGACGCTGCTTTTCACTCCCGCAGTGTTAGAGAGAGGGAGGCTTGTTTCGGGGGAGGAGGCTTGTGGTTTCCTTCTAAGGAATACAAATATTTTTAGTTTCAATCACTAATCCCCCCCCCCTTTTTTTTATAAACGTTGGGCCTTCCTGTGGGTTAACCTACCTGGGACTCCCCCCAGACCAAAGAGCAGATTGAGATGTAGCTTCTCGAGCTGTGGCAGCACAATGCCACGCGGAAAAAAATGAACTAGATTAACTGCAAGGGTGAATTTAAAACAAATTCAGGCGTGAAAGTTAATTCGGGTTTAGAGAGGGAATGAATGTAAAGCATAAGAGCTGTGCTTGATAATTCCGCAGGTGGACGCGTTCTGGAAGAGTGCTTTGGTCATGGGCAGCTTAATCCACTTTAAGCAGGAGCAGAACACTCTTAGGCCTGGTCTATACAAGAAGAGTCTTCACTGTTAACTACTGGAGGAGTGTAAAAAATCCACACCCTTGTGAAGAACAGTTAAGCCAACATAACCCCTGGCGTAGCACTAGGTCAGTGGAAGAATTCTTCATAAGGGGAGCATAAATCACTAGCTAGCTTCCACCCCTAGGGGCAGCAGATTACTTACAGTAATGGGAGAATCCCTCCTGTTAGCATAGGTAGTGTCTACACTGAAGCATTACAGTGGAGCATCTGTGCTGCTGTGGCATTTTAAGTATAGACATCCCCTTAGGCCTGGTCTACACTTAAAAATTAGATAGACCTCAGTACATCACTCAGACCTATGAAAAATTTTGCATCCTGAGGGCTGTAGTTAGTTCAACCTCACCAGAAGTGTAGAGGCAGCTAGGTCGACAGACAGCTGCTTCCGTGAACCTTAGAGCCTTTACTATATGACTTGTAAATTGCATAATATGTATATACTTCATCCTTCCTCAGCGTGGGGCTCCTCTTCCGGCCTTATAATTCTATCATTCTGTAATACAAACTATATTCATTTTCCAAGACAGCCTTTGTTTGTTAAAGTCAGAATTCTAGGAGTGCAGTTATTGTTCTTTCCAAGGTTGTTAGAGTTGCAGTTTTCTAACACGTGGCTTGCTTCAAAGACAAACTTTGAAGGAAAAAATAAAGGTGAGCAACAGAGAATCTAAAATGCATAAAGTAAATAAAAGAAAAAAAATTCAGTTACACTCCTTTTCAATATTACTACTTATAAAAAGGTCTGGAGATAATTAAGTATTCTGCTTTTGCAAGCTTTGATTAAAAATGTGTTCTGGAGCCACACTATTACAGATAAAACAGCATGCCAGCTCAGATGACCCGTGGGAATCACTTTTTATGTACGTGGGATGTAGGAGGGAGCCCCACAAGTCATTCCATTCTTGAGACAGAAATGCCATATAAGGTAATATGTAGGGTTGGAGCCATGTTGGTCCCAGGATATAATGGAGACAAGGTCAGTGAGCTAATATCTACTGGACCAACTTCTGTTGGTGAGAGAGTCAAGCTTTTGAGCTTACACAGAGCTCCTCTGCGGGTCTGGAAAATGTACTCTGAGCATCACAGCTTAATTACTCCTAGGAGAATTCAGGGCCTGTGCAGAATTTTTTTTCTCCACAGAAAATACATTCTGCTGGACAAGTGCTGCAGTTGTGTCTTTTGTCCACCAGGGGCTGCTGTGGCACTAGAACAGGGAATTCACTCCCAGGTGGGAGCAACCCCAGCTGAGATAGGAAAGAGAAGAGGCTGTGTTCCTCACAGTGCCCCGGCCATGGGTCCAGGTCAGGAGGCACAGGAATTGGACGGACAGACGGACAGCATAGGGCACATAGGCGGGGTGAGGGGGGTCATAGACTTGGGTTCAGAAGGGCTACTGGGGGGGGGGGAAAGAGTGGGACAGGGGCTGAATGGGAATGGGGGGTGCAGAGACACATGGGGACACAGGGTCGACTTCCTAGCAATCCTTCCCCACCCCCCAAAAATACCTGTTCCATACTTCTCCCACCCACACTCAACAACCCACTAAGTTCACAACCAGGCTCCTTCCCAGCAATTACTTCCTTCTCCCTCAGCTCCTCAATTATCCTGACTCTCCCAAGCCTTTGCACTGCTTCTGAGGGGTGCGGGAAATATGTTTCTGTATTGTTCTTTAAATTAATTATTACTCAAAGTTCTATATTAATATGCCTGCTAAGGTATCTATTTGTCCTAAAGCTTTTTTTGTTGTCTGTATTGTTACAGACATACATGCTGACAAGTATTTTGAAATAAATTACCAAAATAATTGAAACTAGTGTGATTATATTTTTATTTTTACAAATAAAATATGCAGATTTTAAAATACTGTGCCCATAATTTTTAATTTTTTGGCACAGAATTCCCCCAGGAGCACTAAATACAAGGTGGAACAGATTGTTTAGTATAAGTAGTTAACACATATCTCAAGGGACCAGTCAAGGTGAAATGACCTCTTAACACCCCTGCAGTCACGGGGAGGGAGGAAGGGAACGCAGCTGGGGGGTGTCTCTATTCAGTCCATGATTTTTACTATCTAGCTCTAAATCGCCTTCACTGAACAAGGACACCCCACCAGAGAAGTAGATTGCACCATGGAAGGGGCCACCCAAATACCCCAAGAGAACCGGCTTCAATAAATAAATAAAACTCACACAGGAAAATGATAAAAGACAAAAACACTACATCACCTGCAGGTGAACACTTTTCACAAAGCGATCACTTTACATCTGACCTATCAGTCCTCATCCCCAAAGGGAACCTGCACAACAGTTTCAAAAGACAAGCCTGGAAGCTTAAATTTATAACTTTACTAAGACACTAAAAGACATGGACTGAATAGAGTCACTGGATTTATGGCTTATTACAACAATGTATAACCCACTAACAACCCCCCACATCTTTCCTCCCCTATGACTGGAGGGGTGTTAATGGGCCACTTCACCTTAAATCATCCCTTGAAATTTGTGTTAACTACTTATGCTAAACAATCTGTTTCACATTGTATTTAGCTATGACTCTGGGTACATTTTCCAGACCCGAAGAAGAGCTCTGTGTAAGCTTGAAAGCTTGTTTCTCTCACCAACAGAAGTTGGTCCAATAAAAGATATTACAATAACTACAATATTAAGTGAGGAGTTATGTTCCTGAAAAATGCAAATTTAAGTGAAACGATGTTAAACTAATCCAATTTTCCCATAAGATTTAATGTAAATGCAGGGGGTTAGGTGCCAAGGAATTTTTTTTGTGGCAGACAAAAGGCATTATATACTGTACAGTACTGTACTGTACTGGAGCTCAGGGCTGGTGGTGCAGGGTCTGGGAGGAAGTTAGGGTGTGGGAGGGCGCTCAGGGTGGGGGTGTGGGAGGAGGCTCTGGGCTGGGGCAGGCAGGAGATGCAGAGCACTTACCTGGGGCAGCTCGTTTGGTGCAGGGGGTATGCAGGTGGCTCTGCGCAGCGCGGCACCGCCCCCATGGCCACGATTCTGGGAGCCGTGATTCTGGGAGCTGCCCCCCACCTCCCCGGCAGGCAGGGCCACCCAGAATGCAGGGGCTGCAGGGCCCTGGGCTTAGGGGGCCCCGGGGCCCTGGCCTGCAGCTCTAAAGCCCCTTTCGGAATGCGGCCCTGTGAGCACGTGCTGGAGGACTCGGGAGGAGCAGGGGCAGCGGTGCAGCCAGCAGCTGGAGAGAAGCGGCGCTTTCCCCTTCAAAGCCGGCCGGAGAGCAGGGGAAGCGCTGGAAGGGAAGGAGGGAGGGGGAGAAGAAGAGGAACTTGTGCAATGCTCCCTTGTAAAGTTAGCCAATCGATGTTATAAGGGAGCATTGCACAACTTTAAATGAGTATGTTCCCTAATGGAGCAGCGACATAACTTCAAAACAACATTAAGTGGGAGGACATTAAGTGAGGAGTTACTGTACCTCACCCACCTTGTCTCCCTTTTATATGTGAGATCTGCACCATATCTGGGAGGAAATGTAAATTTCTTGTTTACACTTCCCCATTGCTGAAGAATCGCTGTTTAAATGATAGCCCACTTGACTTTATTGACCTGTCTGGGGTTGCTATGTGCCTTTGTCTCTGAAAAACTAGTTTGTGGGTGTTACCCAGAACTACAACATATTTCAGTAACAGTCATATAGCAAAAACTCATAATTTTACATCCAGTAATGTTACACACATCTTAATAGGACAATGATGTTCAGCAGATTATGAGTTTCTAAATGATACCTCACAAGTCATGCTTTGTACAAAACATATAATCATATAAAAGTGGTGAATATGGAGTACAGGGTGTCACTGTATAATTTATATTTGTTATTTTGATTTGTAAAATGTTTTGGGATCCTTAAGGATGAAATGCAGTATATAACAATGTGATGTAATATGTAGAAAACCACTAGAAAAAGAGGATATTTGAATGTGAATTTTCAGTCTTATAGTTCTTTGTATGC